GGAGTAGGCTTTCGGGGTTTGTAGGTAATTTATTAATTAGGAATTTCGTAGTCAGCTTGGTCATGTTAAATTTGCGGGTGATCTTGGTTTCTTCACCCAAATGTTTTACATAATCACCAGCACCTTTTTGTAATAGATTATCAATGAAGAAATGTCGTGCTTTCTTCGAAGGTGGAGGAGACATTAATAATAAAATAAATTAAAAATTAGAGACTAATTCAAAAGTATTAAATTTCTTAAAATTTTCAAGAATGAAGAAAGAAATCGAAAATCCTTTACTTTTAAGGATCCATAAAATATTTGATGTGTTGTAAAATCACTGAAATTCCATTTCATTATTTTCCAGTCGGGGAGGAAGTTAAATTTGCATAGAGGAAATGCAAAAGAAGAGGATTTCGTAATACTTTTAAACTTTATTTCGGATCCTTTTATTTTCAGCTTTGAATCTCTTGGGAATTAAAGAGGGAATTTTTAGAAAAGGAAAGAGATATTTATGAAATTTGCATAAAAGAATTTTTATGCATCTATACCAATTTTTAAGTTCCTTCTTTACAATCCTATACTCTATTTGAAGTAAGGAAGGCTGTCACGAAGGGTAACTAAAAGAAAATTTGCATAAAGTAAGAATTTCAAGATTTAGAGGGAAATATTAGTAAATAAAAAGAAGGGAATTTAAAAATATATATTAAGATTAGGTTAATTGCTGAGACGACGAGTAATTGTTGAATTTGTTTTTTAAATTTATTTATTTTAATTTATTTACCATAATTTATTTTTATTTTCTATTAAAGTATTTTTTCTTTTATTTTGGGTTATTAATAGAGTGAGGGTAATTGTTTGATTATACATACTTTTTATTTCCATTTATTTTTTATTTCTATTACTTTTTAATTTTTCCTCTCATTTTCCTTTTTCTCATTTTTCCTTCCTATTACAGTATTTTTTAATTTACACCCGTTTTTTATTTTCGGGAGGCAAAAGCTTTAATTTTTACAAAGGGAAAATATTGCGTAATTTTTTCGGCCGAGGGAAAAAAGAGAGCGTGGAGCATTTGCATAATTTGGTGGATATCAAAATGTTTAGGTGGGCTAAACAAAAGAAAAGCCCTATTGGTTTTGGCTAGTGAGGTGGGTGGAGGAAGGAGAAAGAAGGAAAAGCTTCAAAAGCTTTTGGTTTGTGGGGTGAGTAAGGGAAGCAAAAAAAAGCTTCAATAGCTTTTGGTTAGTGGGTGGGTGGGTGGGGGAGGGAAGCTTCAATAGCTTTTGTTTTGGAGGGATAACAAAAGAGAGAGGAAAAGCCTCAAAGGCTTTTGGTTAGTAGGGTGGGTGGGGAAGGAAAAGGAAATACCCTCACACCTTTTGATTGATTAACTAGAGTGATTTTTGACAGGCGACTCGGAGGGGGGGTTAACTACTTAACCAATAAAGTTGGTCAAAGCATTGGAAATCTTGATTTATCAGTTAATCTAAATAAAAGTACAAATTCCGTGCCAAAAAAGGCATGGTAAAAATTGATTTATTTTGTGATAATTTGTTGAAATTCATTCATAAATGTATTATAATTTTGATCAGAGTCAGGGTGGCCTTTTCCAAACCACTAAAATAGGGCGCAGGTACTCAAAAATAGGGAAAAATAGGGCGAAATCGGTCAAAAGTAGGGCAAAAAATAGGGAATTATTTTAAAAATAATTAAAATTTTGAATAAAAATCTTTATTCCGCATGTTTTCGAATAGTTTTAACTAAATTGAGCAGATCAAGATGAAGCTGTATCTAAATAAATATATTTCAAAAATTGTAAATCAAAAAAAATATTAGAGACTGGACTGCGAGTGTCGTCTCGAATCTTGAAAAATCTCAAAAACTGAAATTTTTATCACAAGACAATCGTACGAGATGTCTCGAAAAAACTCGATCTCGATAATCGAGATTTTCGTTCGAGATCACGTCTCGATCCGTTCTCTAGTTCAGATATCCGAATTTGGAAGCGATAATAGCGCAAAATCCCGTAGAGATACTTTCTCTCGTCTAACTCTAATAATAAACCGACAGTCCACAGTCGTCGACCACGACCACGTCAAGACGACTGTCGTAGACCACGACTACGTCAAGATAACTGTCTTTGACCACGACCACGTCAAGATGACTGTCGTCGACCACGACTACGTCAAGATGACTGTCGACGACCACAACAACGTCAAGATGACTGTCTTCGACCACGACCACGGTCGTCGACCACGACCACGTCAAGACGACTGTCGTAGACCACGACTACGTCAAGATAACTGTCTTTGACCACGACCACGTCAAGATGACTGTCGTCGACCACGACTACGTCAAGATGACTGTCGACGACCACAACAACGTCAAGATGACTGTCTTCGACCACGACCACGGTCGTCGACCACGACCACGTCAAGATGACTGTCGCCGACCACGACCACGGTCGTCGACCACGACCACATCGTCGACCACGACCACGTCAAGATGACTGTCGCCGAACACGACCTCGGTCGTCGACCACGTCAGATGACCGTCGTTGACCACGACCACGGTCGTCGACCACGTCAAGACGACCGTCGTTGACCACGACCACGGTCGTCGACCAAGACCACGTCAAGATGACCGTCGTTGACACGACCTCAGTCGTCGACCACGACCACGTCAAGATGACTGTCGTCGACCACGACCACGTCGTCGACCACGACCACGTCAAGATGACTGTCGTCGACCACGACCACGGTCGTCGACCACGGGCACATCGTCGACCACGACCACGTCAAGATGGCTGTCGCCGAACACGACCTCGGTCGTCGACCACGTCAAGATGACCGTCGTTGACCACGACCACGGTCGTCGACCACGTAAAGACGACCATCGTTGACCACGACCACGGTCGTCGACCACGACCACGTCAAGATGACCGTCGTTGACACGACCTCGGTCGTCGACCACGACCACGTCAAGATGACTGTCGTCGACCACGACCACGGTCGTCGACCACGTCAAGATGACTGTCGACGTCCACGACCACGGTCGTCGACCACGACCACGTCAAGATGACTGTCGCCGACAACGACCTCGGTCGTCGACCACGACCACGTCAAGATGACTGTCGTCGACCACGACCACGGTCGTCGACCACGATCACATCAAGATGACTGTCGCCATCTTGAAATTTTAAAAATTGATAAAAAATAGGGCAAAATATGGCAAATGTAGGGTTGTACCCCGAACGTTCGGGGGCGGGTATGTCGGGGTACGGGGTTTTCCAATTGTTTCGGGGCGGGGTTCGGGTCGGGGGAGCAAAATATGACCGGGGTTCGGGTCGGGGTACGGGGTTTTAGGGAAAAAATTTTTAGAGAAAAAAATGCTCAAAAATAATCAGATCTCGGTATATTTTCGCTAATTTATTCAAAAATTAAGTAGGATTTGAAGAAATTAGAGGGGATTTGAAAGGATTAAAGTGTATAACTTGGGATATAAGTGGATCTGGAGGGATTAAGTGGGATTTCTAGGGATTAAATGGTATATCTAGGGATACAAGGTGATCTGGAGTGATTTTTGTTGGTTCAAGGGATTTTAGTGATTTATAAGGATATTGAAGTATTGCGGATAAGGGTATTTGGACGGATATCAGGAGATATCTTGGATTAATCCTTAAATCTCCCACGAAATCCTTGTTAATTCCGTTAAATTCACGTAATTCTTTCAAATCCATTTTAATCTAAACCTTATATCCCTTTAAATCCCTTTATAACTCCTTAATTCTTCGATATACTACAAATTCCTTTATATCTCTGATTCCCGTTAACAGGACCTCGATAGTTTTCCAACTGTTATGGTTGGGAACCCCTTACTGGTGATACAAGGGGTTTGAAGGATTAAGGGTTGTTCAAGGGATATCAGTTAAAAATAAAATTAATATTTTAAAATTAAAATTTAACTCGTTAATAATTTGTTTTTGTAAAGAAATATAAAAACAAAAGAGTTCTCCTTATATGGATCCGAACCCCATCCTATATTAATGGAAATATAGGCTAAAACCAACAACTAAGCCACTCAACCACAAGTCTCTTAATTAAGAATGAAAGAAAATTTTGATATTTCATTCATTTTTCTTTCAAAAATAATAAAGGCAAAGTAAATTGTGAGGAAATTTTTAAAATTTTTCTCTTAAAATTCTCACAAAAATGGCATTTTTTGGGTGTATAAAACCCCGATAACCCCGAAACTTTTATGGTCGGGGTACGGGGTTTTCGAAATGTTTCGGGGCGGGGTTCGGGTCGGGGAGAATCGTGAAAAAATCGTTCGGGAACGGGGTCGGGGTTCGGGGTACGGGGTCGGGGTACAACTCTAGGCAAATGTACAAAATAGGGAAAAATAGGGCGAAAAGATCAAAAATAGGGAAAATCCTCTATAAATAGGGTAAAAAGGCCACCTGATTTACCCCTGATTTAGATCACAAAAAATCTAACAATTATTGTATATTTAATTAATCAAAATAAAATGTTTACATTACCTTGTCAGATAGTACATACATATTACACACATATAAGTGATCATATTAGGGAATTGGGGTACGCGATCTCAGATACTGATGTATGTCTTTTTTGTTGAAAAATGGAGAATTGAGGAATGAGCACAAACCAAGATGTGCCAATAACAGAACCGATGCCGGGTTATTTTTATGAATCCCGGAAAGTTGGTTATTGGGAATTTGTCTCCTTTATAATATTTTCGTCTTTTTTATTTCAAATTGTAACTTTTTTGTGTCTGTCTGATTCAATTTTTTAATTATTTTAATTCTTTTCCATTTTCGTTTGTTTAACAATAATAAAGGAAAAATAAATAAAATTTGATGGGTTTTCATTATTAAATCTTTAATTTCACAAAGTATTTAATACAAACTATATTTTTGTCAAAAAAGATAACAAAATCATACTTTTATTTTTTAATTTTATTAATGCTATCTTGTGTATATAAAATAATTAAATTTTCCGTTCCCTTAAATTATTTAAAATAGTAAATAAATAAAATATTTTTTTAATCAAAAAATAAATGTTTTTACTTTTATTTTTCCTTTTCTTTACAACTCTTTTATTTTGGAATTTTGTTTGGAAGCGAAAAGGATTACCGCCTGGACCGGTTCCATTGCCTATTTTTGGAAATGCATTTTCGATAAATAAGTTGGTTAAAGTTGTTAATAATTATCAGTTGTTTGTATGTTCAAAATCAACGAAACAAGCTGATTTTTTGACATTATCTCAGCTCGACGAGTCTTTCCTAATGAGCTTTCACATTTATAATCGAATTTTTTACCATACATACATATGATGTTGGATTATCCCTCTTTGGTTTTTCAAAGTTCGACAACATATGTATATCTCGGCCCATAATTGAGACCAAAGCTAATTTTGATGTCGTTCAACTCAGCTTGTTGATCTCCTTCGAATCACTCCTATTTTCTTAAATCTTCCAAAAAAGTTATTTTAAAATTAACATTAAGATCAATTTATGAGAAATTCCAAATTTGGGCAAAAGAATATGGCCCAGTTTATACCATTTGGATTGGAGAAGATCCAACAGTTATTGTTACTGACTATGAAATTATGCGTGACCTTTTTATCAAAGAAGGTGAAGTCTTTGCTGGTCGGAACTTCATGGACGATCTTTTTAAAAAGTTTTCAGGTATATTCATTAACCTATAGGCAAAAAAGCGTAGCGTATTTTTGGGGGTAAGTCTTACGTACTTTTTGTGCCCATAAATAAATCCACTTATAAAACAGGCAGTGATTATAATGGTAAAATGTGGATGTTATTACAGGTTTTATGCCATTCTAAAAGGACCGCAAAGTGGGTGAGGGGCAAAACCTAGTCTTCCAAATAGTCAGACCAAAATACAGTCCTTACCAAAATACAGTCCAATGAAAAAATAAATTAAATAAATTATGCATTTGCAATTGGGTTGAGGTTAGGGTTGAGGTTATCTACTAAAATTTTTCTAATACATAATTTTTCAGCCGTAAAGGGCGATTATGGCGGTGTTTTACGTACAGGGCCCGTAGAATAAATTCGAGGGTAAGGTTACCCGGGTAGCGGCAGCGCCGACTTGACCCTAAGCAAAGGGTTTGGCGCCGCTACTCGCTTCTTATTCTCCCTATTTACGAGAAAATTCATAACTTTTTTTTAAATGGCGATAAAAATTTTATTTTTATGCCAAAACATAGATTGGAATGTTAACTATGTTTTACCAAAAAATCAAAAATTTTGACCGACCTATCTAAAAGTTATGAATTTTCTAGCAAGGTACTACTTTTCCTTAAAAAATGACTAAAAAATCAGGTACTTTTTTCTAAAAATTGCCATAAATTGATTTTCCAAGAAAAAATTCCAAAATTTATATCATTAAATAGAGGACATTTCAAACTATCCAAAAATATTAAATTTATAATTTTTCCATGAGATCTCGATTTTTAAGGATTTTTTAAATAAAATGTCTACACTGCCCCTTAGCAGTGTAACAATTTTACCCTCCACCTCTACCGTATTCTTTTCCTCTTTCTTTTCTTCTTCATTTCTTCGGCGCAAGGATTTTTCTCTTTTCTTCGTTTTGTGGGGGAAAAGTTACTCGGGTAACCTAACCCAGAATTTATTCTACGGGCCCTGAAGGGGATCCATGGAAGGTTGTGCGTCGATTTGGTCTACAGTCAATGCGTAATTTGGGTGTTGGAAGGGCTGGACTTGAAAAGCATTTACTTGAAGATATGGAAAGATTTATTGAACAAATAAAAGAGGAAATATCCAAAATTGGTGGATATAATGTCAATCTTCAAAGTAAAATAGATCGTTTAGCTGGGACTACAGTAAATCGAGTTATATTTGGATATCCATTCGAAGATGTAAATTTCAGTAATTTTTCTGTTTCAAAATAAGTATGGGAACAATTTAGGATTTTGGTAAAAATGTGCAAAATATTAGAAATCTCAGAGAAATTAGGTCATTACTAAAATATTAAGACAAACAATACCATGAACCCCAAGAATTGTGGATCAGCTAGGAAGATTCAGTTGTATCCATCCCAGTTAAAAAAATTTATTATCAATGAGAATTGATAATTTAATATTAATATAAAGGAGCATATGTCTGACTTCTACGAATTAAAGAAACGTATGGAAGAACAGGCTTTTTTGCTTTCATCATTAACTGGCCGTATGTTAATGGTAATGCCTTGGCTTCGTTATTTCCCTATATTTTCGCAAGCATTTAATAAATTGGACAATAATCTGTCAGATGTCTATGAATTCATTAAATGACCGATAAATAAAAGAGTTTCTGAACGGGAGAAACAAACGCCTGAAGAGAGAGGAGAACCCAATGATTTACTTGACTGTTTTCTTGATCAGATAGAAGAAGAGAAGAGTGAATATTTTAGGTAATATTTAATTAATAAAAATTTACTGTAGTTCCTAAAATAGAACACCCATCTCAATAATTAGTACTCCCCCTTAAATTATACTCCACTTTGGAGGAGGGTTGAGAAATATACTCTCACAAATCAGGAGTAAAGTTGACGGATCCGAAATTTTAGTTTCGGATCCATGAATAAGGAAAAATGGAAGAAATCTGGCCCTTTGGCCTTCTCAAATTCTCAAAATTTTCTCCTGAAATAGAAAGATATAGAGCTTATTGGCCTTCCATAATCGCAAAATTTTCGCCTGCAGCGCTGAAAGAGGAAGCCCAGTCGTGAAATATAAGAGCTTCTGAGCCGGCAGAAGCTGGAACGATACTATGCTTAATTGCTTGGTACCGGGATATCAACGTCATGATTTTCCATAAAATTTTTTAACTTGTCCTCAATGTCTATACTTATTTTTAATTTTAAAGTTTGAAGACTATAACACCCTTTTGTTTTGATTTATTTTTGGCTGGTCAAGAAACAACATCAACTACGTTGAGTTATTTAATTTTATATTTAATACTCGACCAAAGAGTTCAATCAAAAATGCATGAAGAATTAGATCGTTTGGAGGAAGAAAAGGGCCGTAATGGATTTGATAATTCTATTACACAAGCTGATAGAGGAAAATTACCTTTTTTAAATGCTGTTATTAATGTAGGGGATTGAGAATTTGAATGAAAAAAATACTTTTTAGGAAACACAACGTGTTTGTAATTTACTTCCGTTAAATCTTACACACAGAACTATGGCTGATGCTCAAATTTTAGGAGGAAAATTTCATATTAAAAAGGGCACATCAATTATTCCACAAATTTGTTGTGTGTTATTTGATGAAAAAGTGAATGAGTAATTTATAAAAGATATCAAAAATAATTTTAAAAATCTTTGAGATAATCGTTGAGATTATAAACACAATATATATCTAATGGGATTTATCTACCATTATTTAAAGCACTTATCTAGCCCATCTTTTGCTCACTTCTCCTTTTTCACCCATCATTAGGGGTGTATCTTTGGAACCGGTTCTAAGACGGTTCAAGAACTTTGCCGGTTCCACAGTTCCAGTTTCAAATCGGTTCCAGAGATTTACCGGTTCCGCGATTCCAGTTCCGGAACTAGAACTAACTCATCATATGTTCCGGAACTGGAACTGGTACTCCCGCATCACTGATTGACAGACAAATTTATCTTAATGGGACTGATATACAGTCATCGACATAAAGATAGGGGCAAGAGTGACTGAAGTAAAACTTAACCATTTTCTCAGTTAAAAATTCATTTTATGAAAAAATAATTTATTTAATTAGATACTCCGTTTAATTCTCTATTTAATGAGTATAAATTTTGATGGATTAATATTTCATAATGAGCCTGAAACAAAAATTTATAACAATCCACAAGAGGTCGAAAAAAATTTTTAAAGCTGAAAAACCCTGTTTTACGTTGATTTTCAGGGCATCGAGATCTCGACACCGAAACGAGATACGGGCCTAGTTCCTTTTTATTTCCTCTTATAATCGGTCATTATAATTGTATAAATTTTTAAAGATTTTTTGTCCGTGTGAATACTTAGTTATGAGACTTGCCCCTATCTTTTTGTCGCGCAAAAATTAGCGTTGCTTTTTTATTTCAGTTTGGGTTCGGTAGTATAACATATTAATCCGACAAGATTTATACTCATTAAATAGAGAATTAAATGAAGTATTTAATCAAATAAAAAAATTTTTCCTAAAGTAAAAATTTAACTGAAAAAATGGTTAATTTTCATTTTAGTTACTCTTGCCCCTATCTTTATGTCGATGACTGTACATATAATTTTAGGCTCTCAAATAAAAACCACATTTTTATTTCCATATTTTCAGATATTCCCCAATCCTCATCGTTTCGAACCAGAAAGATTTTTGGATGATCAAGGCCAATTAAAACGTATTGAAGAATTTATTCCTTTTAGTTTGGGGAAGAGGTACTTTAATTAATTATTTTTGAAATACAAAAATTATTTTTAACAGAATATGTATGGGAGAATCATTAGCCAAAACAGAATTATTTCTTTTTACTGCAAATTTCTTTCGCCATTTTCAAGTTTTACCAGTTGATCCTCTTCATCCACCTTCTAGTGAAAAGATCAAAGGATTCTCCGTAAAGCTTCATCATTACAATTGTCGAATAATTTTGCGAAATAGAAGGGAATTTTGAAAAGAAAATATACTTTTATCTAAAATATTTAAATAAAATATTTACACAACAATAATCATTATAAAATAAAATATGTTTATATATTCAACATTATCACAATTTTGGAAAAGAGTTTATAATATTTTTGGCCCTACTTCAGTTTATGAGTCCAGTCGCACTTTATGATAGAGATCGAACAAACGGCAAAATCAAATATCAAATCAAACTATGATATTTGAAAGTATTTGAAAAAATTTGATTTTTTCCAAAACACATCAATAAAATATTTGATCTTATTAAAAAAGAAAAATAAACATACTACATATGCTCAAATTCTTTTCCTAATATCAACATTTTGGATTACAGTAAAAATCGGAAATATTAACATTATGGGTTTATTCAGGAGAGAATTCTAACCTAATAGGAATTACTGACAATAGTTACTATTAGAGTTAAAACCCGGGCCTGCGACCGGGTTTTCCGTGGCCGGTATCCCGGAAACCAGGTATTTTGATGAGATCCGGGTTTAGGGGTTTTGGGAGTTTCTAGCCCGAAAGCCCGGCCCGGGTCGCATTCAACATTTTCAAAGACTTCATCAGGAAGATCATTTATAAAATTAAGAAATTGAAGTGGTCCTAGGACACCTTCTTGAGGTACACTTGAGAATGTTTTATAATTGTGATATGTATCTGATATGTAGTTTTTATGAAATGCATAATTTCCTTCTATGCCTGCATTTCTATCTTATATAAAAGAATATTATTCGTAGTGTCAGATGCTTAGCAATGTCGATGTAAATAATATCTATGTTATATCCATCTTGTATTGCATTATATAAAGCATACATTTTAGATTGTGTTGTGGATATGGATCTTTGTTTAAGAATCCAAATTGATTTTTAATAAATAACTTATTATCTTCAAAGAATTTTGTTAAATGTTGTGCGATAATTCTTTCGCTAATCCTACATAAGGTGCATGTTAACGATATTGTAAATTTGGAAAAAAATGGCCAATGTAAATTTGTAGAAAATTGCAAAAAGTAGAAATTATATTTAATCATTAATTTATAATTAAATGTTTTTATTAATATAATATATAAATTAAATATACTACTTTATTTTTGCGATTTGCTTAATTTTTAAAGTTTTTTATTTCAAAAAGTTTTTGTCTTTTTTTAATTTTAAATTATCGTTAATTTATTCGCCTATTTGATTTAATTTCCAATAATTTTATTTAATTCGTTTTAATTTTTCGTTTGTTTATAGTCAACGCGACATAAGAAAACTTTTTAATTTTTAATTTAATTTCACAAAATATTTAATACAAACTACAATTTAACATATTTATACTTTTATCATTTCTTTAATAAATTACAAATAAAAAAATTAAATTTTCGCTCACATTAAATAATTCTTGTCGAGCTAACTCAAAGAACAGACCTTGAGTTAGCCCCCACCCAAATAATTACTATATATATGTATATATATATGTATATATAAATTTAGATAAATAAAATATTTTTTAATCAAAAAATAAATGTTTTTACTTTTATTTTTCATTTTCTTTACAACTCTTTTATTTTGGAATTTTGTTTGGAAGCGAAGAGGATTACCACCTGGACCGATCCCATTGCCTATTTTTGGAAATGCATTTTCGATAAATAAGTTGGTTAAAGTTTTTTCGAAATTAAATATAGAGATTGTTGAATTCATACCCAACATATGTAGAGACCAGAATAATAAAATATGAAGAGTAACATAAATAATTAGCCCCCCTTAAATCATGTAAGTTTGGAAATTTATATTTCAATGTTCAGTTCTCCAATCTATCTAATTTTTGTCATATTGTTTTCTTCATTTTCTGAAAGATTCAAAAATTTTTCTTTACCTACAAATTTTTTATGAATTTTTAAAGATTAAGTAAAAATTATGAAATTAGTCCCAATCCATTTCCGCCTTAAAATATTTAATTATGTCAATGATTATGAAAGCATACATTTTTGCAACGACTTACGAGACTCTTGGTCTTGAGTTTGTTAAGTCAAGACTTGCTTAACTTATTCTTTGTCTTGGAATTTAAAATATGAGAAAGCAAGTCTTCACACGGGCAGCTCGATACCCTAGATTGAGATTAAATTTTTACGCCAAACCCGCACATTGAAATGAACTTCAGGCGCCGTAGGAATTCCCGCCCCAAAAACATCGGGAATTCCCCATTTGCTGGCTAGATCCAGCTTCAAGCCATACTCATAAAGGTTTAGTAAAAGAATTATTTCTAATTATTATATCAAAATTAAGTTCAATTTATGAACAATTCCAAATTTGGGCAAAAGAATATGGCCCAGTTTATACAATTTGGCTAGGAGAAGATCCAACTGTTATTGTTACTGATCATGAAATTATGCGTGACCTTTTTGTCAAAGAAGGGGATGTTTATGCTGGTCGAAATCTTATGGGCGATCTTTTTAAAACGTTTTCAGGTATATTCATTGACCTATAGAAATCGTAAAGAACGTATTTTAGTGGAAAATTGTTAGGATTTTTGTGTCAGTAAATTCAAACATTAGGGTTTAAAATGGTCAAGTCTTAGCTGAGTATAGCATACCCATCATGCATGGACCCTGCTTTTTAAAAAGTTGAAAGAAGATTAATAGAATTTTTCTAATACATAATTTTTCAGCCGTAAAAGACGATTATGGGGGTGTTATACGCACAGAAGGAGATCCCTGGAAGGTTATGCGTCGATTCGGTCTACAGTCAATGCGTAATTTGGGTGTTGGAAGGGCTGGACTTGAAAAGCATTTACTTGAAGATATGGAAAGATTTATTGAACAAATAAAAGAGGAAATATCTAAAAATGGGGGCTATAATGTCAATCTTCAAAGTAAAATAGATCGTTTGGCTGGAACTACAGTAAATCGTGTTACATTTGGATATCCATTCGAAGATGTAATTTTTAGTCGTTTTTTGCTTCAAACTAGGTGTAAAAATAATTACGGATTACGAAAAGTTTTGGTGAAAATATGCAAAAATATATAATATAATATCATTATAAATTTAATTTGGTTCTGTATATTTGGTCTTAGAATATTTCTATTATAATTTAAAGGAACATATGTCTGAATTCTACGAATTAAAGCAACATTTAGAAGATCAAACGTGTTTACTTTCCTCATTGACAGGCTTTATGTTAATGACAATGCCTTGGCTTCGATATTTCCCCATATTTTCACAAACATTTAAAAAATTAGACAATAATTTGAAAATTTGTTATGAATTCATTAAAAGGCCGATAAATAAAAGAGTTTCTGAACGGGACAAACAAACACCTGAAGAGAGAGGAGAACCTAATGATTTAGTTGATTATTTTCTTGATCAGATAGAGACGGGAAAGGATGAATATTTTAGGTAATATTTTAATTAAATACCAATTTCCATAATTATTTTTAAGTTTGAAGACTATAGCACCCTTTTGTTTTGATTTATTTTTGGCTGGTCAAGACACAACATCAACTACATTAAATTTTTTAATTTTATATTTAATACTTGACCAAAGAGTTCAATCAAAAATGCATGAAGAATTAGATCGTTTGGAGGAAGAAAAGGGCCGTAATGGATTTGATAATTCTGTTACACAAGCTGATAGAGGAAAATTACCTTTTTTAAATGCTGTTATTAATGTAGAGGATACAGAATTTTAATGAAATAAAATAATAATTTAGGAAACACAACGTGTTTGTAATTTACTTCCCTTAAATCTTACACACCGAACAATGGAAGATACTCAAATTTTAGGAGGAAAATTTCATATTAAAAAGGGCACATCAATTATTCCACAAATTTGTTGTGTGTTATTTGATGAGAAGGTGAATGTTTAGTAAAAAAATATTAGCACTCCTGCTGTATAATGGGGTCGCGTTTTGAACTTCATTAATCTCCGTCATGAATCTTACTCTATGGTGTTAAGTATAGGTCTCTTGCTTAACACCTTTGATCCATTATCGAGCGTGTTTGCCATAAGCTTGTTTAGTAAAGTTTTCTATTCCCATAAAGATTTTATGGTATATGTACAATGTACCTTTATTAAATCGAAGTATTACTCAAGCCTGGGTTGGTAAGGATTTAATTGCTGATGCTGCTTACTCAAAATCTGAAAAATTCTCATTAGTCTCATAATTGTAAGAGATTGAGCCCTCTTAAATGGCAGGATACAATGATTAATTTCTAATTAATTAATATATGCCAGCCCTGATGTAGAGGGCTTTTTATTTTCATTCCCATTTTTATTTTCAGATCTTCCCCAATCCTCATCGTTTCGAACCAGAAAGATTTTTGGATGATCAAGGCCAATTAAAACGTATTGAAGAATTTATTCCTTTTAGTTTAGGGAAGAGGTACTTTAATTAATTTTTTTTCTAAAAATATATATTATTTTTAACAGAATTTGTATGGGAGAATCATTAGCCAAAACAGAATTATTTCTTTTTACGGCAAATTTCTTTCGTCATTTTCAAGTTTTACCGGTTGATCCGCTTCATCCACCTTCTAGTGAAAAAATTAAAGGATTTACTGTTAGGCTTCATCATTACAATTGTCGAATAATTTTGCGAACAAAAAAGGATTTTTAAAAAAGAAAATACTTTTATCTAAAATATTTAGTAAATGATATATTTACACAGCAGATATATCAATAAACATTATAAAATAAAATATTTTTATATATTCAACTTTCTCACAATGTTGGAAAAAAATTTATATGTAATTGACTTTATAATAATTTTAGCTCTACTTGAGCTTAGGAGTCCAATAAAGATATTTTGGGCTCTTGTTTGTGTTTAAAAGTTGAGGTATGGTCCGTAAAGTTCTTCATGTTCGGAACCTACGCCCACTGAGTCAATATTCTTTCAACTGGGACCGTTCCTTACTATCCCTCGAAATTGCGGAAAGTTATAGCCAATTTTTAAACATTTCAGAAAATCGAGAGGGGGAGGGGGGTCCCAATCTCAGTGTGCGTAGGTCCGGTACAAAAGAACTGTTACAGAACCCAACTCCAACTTCATAATATAATGAAAAATTCAAAATTATTTTTATTGGACTCGTGAACTGCATTAGAGCCATAATTTTTGCTTAAAATATTCCAGCAATCAGAAAAGATAAAACTTTCAACTTAAATTTAATCACGAAAAAATTGCGAAACTTTTTTTGTTTTCTGTCGTTTTTTGTCCTTTCCACTGGAAGTATTAACTCGAATTTTTTTACTTGAAGATTTATTACTAGAATTTGGGCTAATAATAATTTTCTTATCATCATTATCATTTATTTTCATATTTTTTAATTTATGATTATTAACAATATCTAAAACATCAACTTTTCTTTTTCCAGTAGGAGTTGAGGAAGAATTGCTTTTTCCCTCATTTTCAGAATCTCTGTAAGTAATATATATTTTTAAGCTGTTATCTTAGAAAATATTTTGATGTTAGATGAAGTTTTGGAAATTATTTTTTATAAAAATATTATATGAAAATTTTGATTATTATTTATTAACATATTTATTCAATTAACTGCCCTTAATTTTTCGCTGTCATAGGATAATTAAAGTAAAAGAGAGAGGACGGGCTTTGATCCTCGAACCACTGCGGATTACGCAAATTACGGGGTTTTTTGACTTGCGTTTAGTTTTCGTTCCCCTGCTTCGAACTCATTTATTGCGATCAGAATAATAAAGTTAGATTTGTTATGGGATAACCAAAAATTATAAGCTTTTTTTGCATAAATGTTTATTCCTACCGGAATTTGAGTACTTATTAACATTCTAAATGAAATATCTATCACTAGAGACGGGCCATGAGATTCGATTTAAATTGGTTAACTTGAAAATATTAATCTATAGAAAAATTTTGTTCTAGAAATTTCTGTGTTTTTCCCTGCTTAAACGACACATTCTGGGCCGTAAATATTGAGACCTCACGTATCGTTTAACCTTATTTTCAACAGAGCTAGTTAAACAAACCCAATATCGTCCTTTCCTTTCAATTTTAAATTAGACTGCGCAGAATTTCCAGTGAGTAATTTGTGTGCATTAGCTTTAATTTGTTCCCAATCAGTAATTACTAAATCTGACATTTTTTCTTCATTATTTTGTGATTTACACATATTTTCCAAAAAATAATTAAATTCAAAATTTTCTGAACGATTAATTAATTCTTTACTTTCTATATTTATTTTTTGTTGATTTTCTTTTAAATTAATTATTTCTTCTTTTAAAAGTTCATTAATTAATGAATTATAAATTTTTTCTAAATAAATAGTTAATTCACAAATACATTTTTTAGTATAAGTATTAACACTTTCTGAATTAATACAAGCATTTTCCCCATCATTTTTAAAATAACTTTCATCAAAAAATAATTCTTTAAATTTTAAAATTATCAAAAAAATATTTTTCCATTCAGTTTTGTTTTCTTCTATAAAAATATTAATTTAATTTTTTTATTAAATTTTTTATTTTTATTTATTTAGTGTCATTAAGTGGGCGAAAATACATAAAGAATAAATAATTAAGAAAGCAAAAAAGCAGACATTTTAAATTAAATTTGACCATATTAGGATGGGATTTTAAGGTTGTAACCTTTTTTCGAACCTTTTTCCGAAATTTTTCAATATCTATGTTTAGAGAGACATTACAACTAGGGTTGTCCAAAACATGCAAATACATGCTTTACATATGAACATGCAGTATAACCTGTATTAATTGCCCTCCCTCAAATAATTACCACACTTGCATTAATTACCCTATTTAGCGATAGACAAATGCCCTAAAACAACAACAAACAAATGCCCTAAAACTAGGGTTTGACCCCGACCCCGTACCCCGAACCCCGACCCCGTTCCCGAACGATTTTTTCACGATTCTCCCCGACCCGAACCCCGCCCCGAAAAAAAGTGAAAACCCCGTTCCCCGCCCCGAAAAGTTTCGGGGTTATCGGGGTTTTATACACCCAAAAAATGCCATTTTTGGGAGAATTTTAAAAGAAAAATTTTAAAAATTTACTCCCAATTTACTTTGCCTTTATTATTTTTGAAAGAAAAATAAAAGAAATATCAAAATTTTTTTTCCTGCTATGTTAAGAGACTTGTGGTTGAGTGGCTTAGTTGTTGGTTTTAGCCTATATTTCCATTAATATAGGATTGGGTTCGGATCAGGGTGACCCTTTTACCCTATTTATAGGGCATTTGCCCTATTTTTGACTTTTTCGCCCTAGTTTTTCCCTATTTTTTCATTTGCCATATTTTTGCCCTATTTTTACCATTTTGTAAAATTTTTACAATTTTTACAGTGAAATGGCTGAAAATGGAAGAAATCTGACCGTTATCCTTCCAAAATTCCTAAAATTTTCGCCTGCGGCGCAAAAAAGAAAGATAAAGAAGGGCTCGAGTGGAATATAGGCGGATTTTTATTAGAGAAGATTTCGGGGAATATACTAGGATTATGGGGGAATTGACTAGATAACAACGGATTTGCATTGATGAAGAGAGATAAATGGATTTGAGAGATTAATTAGGTATAGGAGGATTAAAGTGAATGTAAAATTAAGCTGGATATAATATAATTTTGAGTAAGGGTTGATAACTCTGTATCACCTTGATAACTCTGTATAACTCCACCTTGATAACTCCATTCATAATTTCTCCCAATCCCATTATATCCCTCCATTTGACTCAACTTTTTAGTGCTTCCAGTTTTTCTGTTGTTAAGAATGTGAAAGCTGACGAAATAAACAGAATGAAGGTCAAATTACTTAAGTCACTTGTCTCGATTAAAATTAATTCTTATTTTAGTTATACCCAGGCGCATGATCTCATTATTTCTGAACCAAATTTACTTAATTTAGTTCAAAATATTGAAAAATATGCGGAATCAAGCATTTTACTATAATTTTAATTATTTTCGAAGTGTTTTAAACAATGCCCTATTTTTTGCCCTATTTTTGGCCATTTTCGCCCTATTTTTGCCACATTTTTGAGTGGCTGCGCCCTATTTTAGTGGTTTGGAAAGGGTCACCCTGGTTCGGATCCAAATAAGCTGGGCTCGTTTGTTATGGAATTTTTCTTTACAAAATCAAGAACTTAATTTTAATTTAAAATGTAAATCTTATTTTTAAATATTATAAATTATAAAAAACAATGTAAAAATTTTTTGTTTAGCTAAAATTTCAAAAATTTTCTTGGTCAGCGCTAAAATAAACGAAAACATCTTGCTTTTTGACCTAAAAAATTTTAAAAATTTTCGCCTGTGGCTCTGGAAATGTAAGAAATTTGGCTTCTTGGCCTTCCAAGTTTCTCAAAATTTTCGCCTGCGGCGCAAAAAAAACGAAAAAATCTGGCTTCTTCACCTTATAAAATTCTCAAAATTTTGCCTGCGGCGCAGAAAAGAAAGAGTTACCCTGATATCCTCCAAATCCCTAATCACTCGATAACCCTTAAATCAATGATATCCCTTGAAACTACCCTTAGTCCCTACGAATTCTCTTATATCCCCAGATATCAGCTTTAATCCCTCCAAATCCTCCTTAATCACCTCCAGATCCAATTAATCACTCCAATTTCTCTTATTTCCATTTAATCCCACCTTATTCTCATTAATTTATGAATATATTAACGAAAATAGACCCAAAATGGCTCATTTTTAGAGCATTTTTTCTTTAAAAATTTTTTTCCTAAAACCCCGTACCCCGACCCGAACCCCGACCATATTTTGCTCCCCCGACCCGAACCCCGCCCCGAAACAATTCGAAAACCCCGTACCCCGACATACCCGCCCCCGAGCGTTCGGGGTCAAACCCTACCTAAAACACGTTCAAATTTCAAACCTCGTATAATTACCCTCCCTCGATTAATTACTCCCTCCATCAGAGTAATGGAGGGAGTAATAGTTATTAAAGGGGTAGTTATTAAAGGAGTGTTTTGAGTGAGGATACCAAAAAAGGTGTTTCTACATATGCTGAAAAAAAAATTAATCTTTGAAAAAAATATTACTCATTCAAAGATCCAATAAATGTTTCTTAATTATTTCCGATAAAAATAATGAAAGATGGGAATTTTCGGGAAAATAAAAATTGAAAAATTGTGAATTGAATGTTTTTTTCATCAATAAAATAATTTAAAATATAATAAAGCTTTTACTTATTTCAATTTGATTAAGATCAACAATTTCTTTAAAAGTTTTCTTTTCCAAAATATTTTTATTTTTAATTTTTTCACTTATTTGATTTAATTCTTCAATTATTTCATTTAATTTTTCTTTATTTGAATAAATTAAATTTAAAATAGAATTACTCATTAAATTAACAAATTGGCCTACAAATCTCTCTTGATTCAAAATTGCGTTAAAATTAAATAATTGTTTCGCCCTTTCTAATATTTGAGAATTTTTTGTATAATTTTTAACAATTTTATAAACCGAATCGAAAATTTCTTTCTCCGATTCTTTACTTTTAACATTTTCCACAAAACAAAATATAAAAATAACTAAAATAAAAAAATGAAAATCTTGTAATACGTTCAAATATTTACCCTGAGTAATTATATATTTATTCAGTCAGAGGTGGGCGGAATTCCGACTTCCGAT